GTTTAAGGTGCAAACGAGTAAAGTATAATATGGTCATCTGTTCACAGAGAAAAGTTAAGTGGGAATATTCGCAATGACTTATATTATCTACTTGCATCATTACATCTTTCACAGTTTGTACATAGTACACCCACGTTGGTCTACAGATTTCTTTGTTAATTATAATTACGATTGTACATCCACGTTAAGTTTGTCGAGGCAGGGTTGAAATGTTTAAATGTTGTATACAATCACTCTCCTTGTGTGTTTCTCCATTTTTCCACTCTTTCGTCTGTGATATTTATCACAAATACCACCACTTAGCATATCGAAACTGCGGTCAGATTGCAGGGTAAAAAATATAAACCCGAAGAACCAATTTGTTTACCACTTAGGTGTAACTGATCATTTCAAGTACATCAAATTACTGTATTTCATTGAATCAGTGTAGACAACATTCAGAGTGAATACGGAAAAATAATTATCGGAACTTCTTTAGACTAACTGAAAAACCTGACTTACCGAACAACTTTACAGCATTGTCTAGTGAACAAAAATTGTCGATTTCGTTTACTTTTCATTAGAAATGTTTCCTTTAAACTGCTACAACAATCTGTTATCGTCTCTTGCAACTTCTGTTAGAGCATAAAGTTTGAAACTTTAATTCTGTAGTTTTAAATTTGTTTATTTGCACTTATTATCAGTGTGAATAATATTTTGCATTCATAAAGTCACTCAGTAGATAAAAATGTTTTGACATGTGGCACATCTTGTAAACAAATAAAGAAAATATTTTTCCAATTTACTCAGCTCATTTTCAGGAATCATGTGACTGTCATAATATACCACTTAATTAACCTCAGTACGATGTAAGATGTCTAGCACAATCACATGGAGATGTCAAAATCCAGAAGTCACATTTCATATGTAGAAATACATACGAGTAAAGTTTTACTACTTACCTCTCACCACTGTTGTCAACAATAATAAACTCATCTTAAATTACCATACGAAGCATGAAACAGCACTCGCAAATAGTCTTTATTTTTAATAACACGAACGTAATTACATTTTCCTATGTGTAATTTATTCCATTATTATTTTCACTGAGACAGGAATCCTATTAACGAATAATGAAAGGCGTTCCTCTCTTACTTGCTCAAAGAATTTATTGAGAAATAATTGGAGATATATTTTAAGTTTTCCATATAGCCAATCCGTGCATGCATTCACACAGTTGGCTAACATTACGAGAAATATTAAATCCCGAGTGATAAATCCAAATTTGAGTTATCCATGTATTTATAATAAATCTTTCTTTGTGACAATATGCGAACATATGGTACAAACATTTTCAGCTGATTTAGTTCCAAAATATTCTCTTCTTCTTACAGGATTTCCATGTAAAGTAATAATCTCAAGTATACCGTTGAAGGATTGCCTAGCGTTATTTAGTAAACAAGTTAAATCAGCATGTAAGTTCATGTATTGTTCACTTGTTATTATTGGATGAAATGAAACAATGATGATTGCAGACGGAACTAAGTATTCTGTTGGAAACCTATTTCGGTTGCCCAGTGATTCAAACACACCTCCTTGGCTAGAACTCCACAACTACTTGAATATATCATTGACTCATTGCTTGATGAAAAACCGAATTTAAACTTAATTTCTCTCCCTCAAAAGTAAACAAACAAGAACGTTGTCCAGAAGAAAATGTCCCTTAGATGATTTCATAGTTAGTAGCTGTTCAGCCAAGATTTGCAATAAGACTGTAATAAGATCTACTAAACCGGAACTTGATATCCAAAAAGAACACGTTCAGACGCTGTTCCTACCGTGGCCAAACTTGGATTGATGATTCTTCTTCTCACCAAGAGTGCTCCTTCCCCTTAACCCTCTTGTCTATTTTTTTCCTTCGCTTATTATTACAAATATTATCATTACAATTATTATTAATAATATTATTATTCGTCATAATTTATGCCCTTCATGCAAACATTCTCTCAATGTACCGAATTTTCGTTTATACTCTCCGGATATATTATTAGTGATATTATCTCTTTTCTCAATATATGCCTCCACCGGTTTCATATCACATATTCGTTATCTCATTGTGAACCTCCCATTGCAGTCTTACTACCTCCTGTTTAACACAGACCACTTTGTACCAGCCACTCGCCTGACACCTTTTATAACCTTGAACTGACTTGTCAATTTTCCTACCCCACATTCAACAAATCTATTATGATTAATAACCATTGTCTCTCGTTTTACAACATTTTGTAATCGAATTCAGCCTAGCACGTTTGTTACAGAAATACGACTATTTATTTTGACACCCCATAACTAATCTGTTATTCTATGTTAAAAATGTATCTGCCGCATAACTGGCCTTTATTGTAACGGCAACAAATATTATATTTTATAATTGTAAGAACCTGAAGAGGAGAAATTATTGCAAAGAATATTCTTCGTTCAGATTGACTTTTAATTCATAATATGGGAATTTTCCACACTATCGAATCTTATATATATCATTATTTATTTGCTCATTCATGTTTTCGTATTCAGAATTGTATTCTAGGGTGTTGATAGTTGTACTGAATTACCCTTGTTACATATATCCGGTGTGACCTTAATAAATATAGATTCTATTATAAGTCTTTCTTTCCATTTGATCATGTTCCAATCGATAATATGGTTTTTGTCCCATGCAAATGCAGCTATTGATGAATTTTTTTCAAGATTCTTGTAGGCTTGTGTTCCTGTTGGTTAATTTTTTTCAGGCGTTGATGTTCATTCACTCTTATTTTGAGTGATCTGGACGTTTGCCACATATATTTAGTCGGACAGTCCCCCTAAGATGTTTTGTAAATCAAATTGTTTTTATCCATCTCTTTTATGGGATCTTTCAGTTGATTTATCGCTTTTTTAATTAGATTCGTCGGTTTAAAAGTTGTGCGAATACCAATATTTTTGAGGTTTCTTTGAATTGCCTGTGATGTATTATTTTTATATGGTGTTGTGACTATTGGTTTGTATTGTTCCATCTTGTTATTCCCTGTTTTTACCCTCTTTTTTCTCTCTTTATATTATCTTCCATAAATTCTTTTGGGTAGTTGTTTTCGAGTAGCATTTTGAATAGGACTTTTATTTCTTTACACTGGTCCTCTGGTGTTCTTGTAACTCTACGTATTCCATATGCAAGACCTTGTGTTAATCCTCCTTTTACTGTTAGTGGATGAGCTGAGTGATAATCAAGGAATCTTGCAGAGTGTATGGTTTTTCTTTATAGCGTCGCTTTTATGCCACCATCTGATATTTTTGGTGTTTTGCAGTCTAACATAGGCAGTTCTCCAATTTCATTCTCTATTTCCATAGTGAGTTTTGTCGAGTCGACATGGCTGTTTATGTGGGAGAAGAGTTTCTCAACATCGTTTTTACCACTATTACTAGTGTGTCGTTTACATATCTCCACCAACATTTTAGTGAATACCTGAGTGGTTTAAAGGCAATAATCCATGAATATGTCAGCTATTATTGGTGAGATAGGCAATCTCACGCCTACTCCTTTATTTTGTTGGTATATTTTCCCTTCGAATGTGAAAAACGTTGTTGTCAGACAGAATTCCACCCCTTTTATTATCTCTCTATGGATGATTAATGTAATTTTGAGGTTCGATGCTTTTCTCGCTCACTAGAACGGCAAAATTATTGAAGAAACATCTTCGAATTCCCATCATTGGAACGTTTTGCGACTACAAATGTCTCACAGACAATTTGTCAGCAAAACAGTAGGACGTAGATATCAGTTTCATGAAGTCAATTCACAACGGTTTGGTCTTGATCGCAACAGACAACACTTTCATGTAGCCGCTTCCAGCTATTCGCAACCATGTTGTCTGATGTTCTGCAACCGATCTGTGAACATGGTTCTAGTGAAGTAGGCGAAATCATATATTCACAATATAGCTGTAATATACGATGTGATGTATTCATGGTTCATCAAGCAAACATTTAATATCCATGAGCTTGAATATAGGTTTTTCAGGACTACACATTTAATAATTTACGAATAATTCAAAATGACACGCCATGGGCACCCAGTCGCTTGTTTGTCTGCAGATTTCGTTTTTAAATAGACGTATATAATAAATGTGTGATTCTGAGGCAAATGCTTTAGATTCAAGATCCCTATTTTGATGCACTGGTGCATTTTCAAAAAACTATGCATATATATTTTTATATATAGGTCTGAAGTTTAAGGCTGTAAAAGTACTGAAACTACCTGTTTTCATTTGCACACAAATATTTTACTAGGTAAAGGGGATAAAAACTGCAGTGGACAGACTACATGCACAGTGTCTTCAATGTCTCCAGAGTTTTCCGAAGGCACTTGGCGACTAGCTTACGCCTGAGATTGGCAAAGTTTGAGAAGACTCAATCAAAATATCCGTCCACTTAGAGCTACTTTCGAGAAGCAAGTCGGGTATGACGTATGACATCCTGAAGCTGACTGTCAATTCTGAGGCATTCGGTTTATTCATATTAGCGTGGAAAAATATGACTGGATGAGCTGATAGGCAGGCATTTTGTGAAATTAAGATGTCTTGACGTGAACACATGATCATAACAGGATGAACATTACGGAAATAACCATATCACAAGTTGTATTCGAAAAAGATTTTCAAGTGAATTCAATTTCGGGAGAACGAACGGAGGACAACGTTTTAATTTCTCATATTCAGAGCTGATTTCCTTTTTTGGTAAATGTTAACTAACCGTTTAATTTTTCAGTTGCTGGGAAATACTGAATGAGTGAAATAAAAGTGCTGACTCTAAATATTGTGTGGGCAGCATCTGATCACTATTCTTGTAAATCATTTCGCATAGTGATAAAAATGTTCTTCAGTTTACACTATAGGAAAATAATGAATATTATTCTTACTTTTGCTTACTTTACGCAAATTAATTGAATAACAATTCGTTATTTTAGTTGATATTTTCGAATCAACTTTATGGTAAGAACCGGAAATTCTCTAGACGAGTTTCAGTTTGGGAAGTGTATAACATTTTCCCTGCATTCTTGTCTTTGTTTACGACAGAATAGAGAATAATGATTGAAAACTTTGCCAGAACTGGACAGCTCTAAAGTCTATCTAGACAGAAAGTTTAAAATAATGCTTTTCACTTTTCCGTTTAAAGTAATTTCTCTTAATAGGAGCAACAAGGCTAATATCAAAAAGACGAATGATTGTTTATAATGGGATTCATTATTGTGAGTTTCAATAAACCTCTGCGATTCGACGGTATAATAAGCTAACCGCAAATCGTTGATAAGAACTGAGTTTTGCCACTTTGAAATATTTAGCTTGAAATAATAAGAAGGGATTTAAGCTCAGATTAACCTCGCCTAGATTACTAGGTCACTAGTATTCTAGCCGGTCCCAAGCCCGGCGAAAGAGGGAGGTAGGGGGCGTCGTGCTAGCAACTCCACCCCCAAAACTCAACCAAATTGCTACGAAAACTTCAACGCACAAATATATTCAACATTCAAAAAATACAAACAATAACCTTGTTTTTCGCTGGAATCGGGGAAGTGAAATGACGCAGGCTGGTCAAAGCCTTCGGGAAGCCAGTCAGTCGATGTGCCTCCTTTCGATGAAAGCAAAAATAAGGATGGGGACGTAGAATATTCGCACAGTGTACGAAGCTGGGAAGGCTACTCAGGTAGCCGCAGAAATGAGGAGATATAAAATAGAAGTGTTGGGAATCTGCGAGAGCAGATGGAACGGTTGTGGAAGGAGCCAACTGCCAACTGAAGGGACAATAATCTACTCCAGCCACCCAGAGAACGATCACGAGCACACCGAGGGAGTAGCCATCATGATATCACCAACAGCGGCTAAAGCTCTCATGCAGTAGGAACCAATCTCCTCCAGGATAATGACAACCAGGTTCAACTCAAAAGGAAAAAAGGTTACAATCATTCAATGCTACGCGCCTACAAACGTCTCAGAAAAAGAGAAGAAGGAGGATTTCTACAGTCAACTACAAACAGGAATGGACAACGTCCCAAAAAGCGACATCAAAATCCTGATGGGTGACATGAATGCGAAACTGGGAGGAGACAATACAGGAAGAGAACTCACCATGGGTCGCGAAGCCCTCGGTGAAATGAACGAAAATGGTGAACTCTTCTCAGACTTCTGCGCCTTCAATGAGTTGGTGATTGGTGGCAGTGTGTTCAAACACAAGGATATACACAAGGCAACATGGATTTCACCAGATGGACACACCAGAAACCAGATAGACTTCATTTCAATCTCAAGGAAATGGAGACGAAGCCTACTGGACACAAGATCGAGGAGAGGAGCAGATGTGGGTTCAGACCACTATCTAGTACAAGGGACTTTCAAGGTGAAGCTAAAAGCCTCGAGGATAGCTGCGGATAGGCCACAATGCAAGTTCAACACGCGAAAACTGAAGGACACAACCACAAAGGACAGTTTCACTGCAACTGTCAGAGCAAAGCAGGAAACACTACGTGGCACCACTGAGGAATCATCCATGGAAGACCATTGGAACTCTCTGAAGGTAATTTTCAACGAAACGTGTTCAACGGTATTAGGAAGAAAGAAGAAACAAGACAAGGAATGGCTCTCAATGGACACTTGGAAGCTAATAGAGGAGAGGAGAATCGTCAAAGAGAAAATGATTCAATGCAAAGATGGACAAGAGAAAGAGACGTTGAGCTCAACTTACACAGCACTGGACAAAGAAGTGAAGAAGAGCGCCATGTAGGACAAAAGACAATTCTCTGACAACCTGGCCACTGAAGCTGAGAAGGCAGCATGTAAAAGGGACCTGAGGACACTATATCAGATAACCAAGTCTCTATCCGGGAAGAGATCAACACAAGTGAAACCTATCGAAGACAGCCAAGGGAACCCAAATACCAAAGAAGAAAGACAGATTAAACAATGGGCGGACCACTTCAAAGGACTCTTGAGCCTATCACCACCTACAACCCGTCCAGAAATACCAACAACAGCACATACACAACTGCAAGTTGACACCAATCCTCCAACGAAAGCTGAAGTCATGAATATAATCAAGCTTCTAAAAGCTGGAAAAGCAGCTGGACCAGATGCAATACCCCCGGAAGCACTGAAAGCGGACCCAGAAACGACAGCAGATATTCTGACTCCATTATTGCAAAAGGTCTGGAAAGAGGGAAAGGTGCCTACTGACTGGAGGAAAGGTTACCTGGTGAAACTACCAAAGAAGGGCGACCTGGGACTCTGCAAGAACTGGCGAGGAATCATGCTCCTGTCGACGCCAAGTAAAATCCTGAGTCACATCATCCTGGAGAGAATAAAGATGCACTGGATACAGAACTACGACCAAAAGAAGCTGGGTTCAGGAAAGGCAAATCATGTTCTGACCAAATTGCAACTCTATGCATCATCATCGAACAAAACATGGAATGACAATCAAACCTCTACCTCAGCTTTATAGACTTTGAGAAGGCCTTCGACAGCGTTGACCGTGAACTAATTTGGAAACTTCTCAAGTACAACGGCTTACAGCAAATATTCATCAACCTTATTCAACAGCTGTATGACAACGGCACATGTCAAGTGATCCACAACAGAAAACTCAGCGAGGCGTTCAGAGTGAACACAGGAGTCAGACAAGGGTGCTTATTATCACCAATGATATTTCTAATTGTGGTGGACTGGATTATGCGTCAGACAGTGGGAAACGAGAAGACAGGGATATCCTGGACCGACGTGAAGAACGTAGAAGACCTGGATTTCGCAAATGATTTATGTTTGATGTCACACAAAATTGAAGACCTACAAGCAAAAACCGACAAACTGGTGAAAGAAGCAGCAAAGGCAGGATTTCAGGTGAACATAGACAGGACGGAGGTTGTGAAAATAACCAACCAACCAACAACTACCGAAGCAGCAGCAACATCCAGTGCCAATCACCATCAACGAGGGGGATTTGAAAGAGGTTACTTCTTTCACTTATCTAGGGAGCATAGTCTCAACTACAGGAGGAACGGACGAGGATGTCAAATCGAGAATCGGGAAGGCGAGATACACATTCATCAACCTGAAACCAATCTGGAAATCTTCGTCACTCAGCCGGCATCAACAACAAAATTCGGATTTTCAATACAAACGCCAAGTCAGTTCTTCTATACGTATGGATCAGAAACTTGGCGGGTCACAAAGAATATTTCCAACAGGTTGCAGACCTTTATCAACAACTGTCTTCGTTCTATACTGAAGATTAGATGGCCGGAAAGAATCGCCAACAAGGAACTCTGGGAACAAACAAAACAAGAACCAATCGCCCAACAAATATGCAGGAGAAAGTGGAGATGGATTGGACACTCGCTGAGGAGGCCGCTGGGTGACATCGCGCGTCAGGCCAGTGCTCGAGTGGAACCCGAAAAGGAAGCGGCGAGTGGGAGGTCCAAGGGTGACATGGAGGAGATCGTGTGAAGAGGAGTTGAAACAGTATGGATTAACATTGATGCAGGTGAAAAGTACAGCCGAATACAGAACCAAGTGGAGACTTGTAGTTGAAGCCCTATGTTCCACTAGGAACACAAGGGAACAATAATAATAAGCTCAGACTGATGACACTGAATTATTTGTGTTCTCTGTGCTTGTTAATTAAATTGCGGACCTTATTACATCCTTCTAGACAGCATCTTCAGCGTAGGTTTCAGCGTTAAATGAAGTTATTTGAATTCTCCATGGATGATGTAATTATATATCCTGGCAACCACTGTCATGACTAGTTGTTAATTCATGTTTCTATTGACCGTTTTTATTAACTTGGAATTCAACCTTTATCGTCATGTTGCTTAATTTTGTTTGGCGCGTAAATTTAGTCTATTGTAATGTGTATGTGGATTGATTATTCACCTGATTACTAGGCTTCGACAAATTCCCTGACCTATTTCGTGTTTCATTTATTCAAAATTGATACGATATTCCAATCAAACTAGAGTTCATAATTATCTACATGCGTTGACACGAAAGGATGTGTATATCATGGTAGCCTACAGCCAATTTGTGTTCTTGGATTCGGATTCGAAAAGGGACGTTCAATATGACCTATGTAATGTTTTGTGCAGTACATACAGTTTCTTTTGAAATTGGCAATCATTTGTTTGAAGTTGTCAATAAGGTGCTTAGATCGTATAAACCATCAATAATTGCTGAAATATTTTTAACCCTGAATTTTCCTTTACCAAAGCAGGTTTGATAGCATACTGCTGGTTAAATAGTGAAGTCAGTAAAACAATGCACTCCAAGGTTCTTACGAGATATGTTTCCCGCTGGAAAGGAAATTATTAGAAGGCATTTTGAGTACATCTTAATTCACTGATGTTCTATAAGAATTACTGTTTTCTGATAAATAGTTTGTGACATTGTGAAAAAGAAACATAGTTTACTGTTCTCGTGTTTAAATTCAAAGGGCAATTCCTCATCGATTTTAGTAGGCGGTACTTAAACACGTGGACGTCTCAAACAAATTCCATTTTACCTTTGAAAAATCCGTTTTACTTCATGACAGTCTTGAAAAGATGCAGTGATGACAAACTAGTAATGCATATATGTTTACTGTTTCAGAGTTTATCTTCGAATTCACCTATAGCAATCACTCCCTAATTGGTTATTTTCAATGCATAAAGATAGGGAAATATCAAGTTCGTAAACAGAGGTCTACAGCTAAGTGAGAATTTCATTCACTTGTATAATTTAAGGTGACGCAGATTATGTCTTTATTTATTTAAAATGTTTAGTCGGTATCAGTCAACCTAGTTGTTTTTTTTTTCTTTTTTTGCCTCGAATTAAGACCTTAAAATATCCCTAAACCTTAAGTATATGCTGTGTCTTTTCTAGTTAAACTTCCAATTCCTAGCTGTCTGAAAAACGTTCTCCTCATATTATTGTGTATTATGTAAAGGACGTTCTGATGTCATAACATTGTTAGGTCAGTCAATGCTAATGTACATTTTCTACGTTTTGGGATAAAAATCTTTGCAAGTATTTGTGAATTAAATATTTTCTATTCAGTTGAATTCTTTTTATCTGAGAAAGTCATTAACAGGTTCTCGTAACAGACGATGACCACAGGCAATCCTTGAGATGCAAGTGTGCATGAAAATTAGTATTACTTTAGAACTTAAATTGTTCAGGCCTAAAAATAACTTTGCACTTAATCTTGCCTAATATGACAGACTTCACGAATGAACTGAGCTTTGTTTAATGTTGTTTGTTAAATAAAATGACCTAAAATTCAGTTAGTTTATCATAAGTCAAATATTGAAAGAGGTGTTTTATGTAACTGTACGTACGTTTTCTACCTTGATGGGAAATAAAAGCAGTTAAATTCGCACAAATAGAATCATTTCATAATCACTGTATGTATATAAAATTATGGAACATCCACATGATTAAATGATTACCTAATATTTATTCTCAAAAGAAAAGTAAAAGAATGGAGGAGTTCAATTAATTCTTGAACTTACATTTCCAACGGGCTTCAATAACTATCAAGAGACTTAAGCGTTACCAATTGCACTCAATTTGGTTTAATTATGACCATTAAACTTTATGAATTCTGTATTTGTAAAAATTAAAAGTAGGGAATAATCATGTTTGTTAATAGCTTTTTCCTGTAATTTTGTATTACAATAAATCCTCTATTTCTTATTTGATATATTGGGATGATATCAGTTAATTCGAAAAATGCCTAAAATGGGTGTTTAATACATGTATACATCTTTTTCAAACTAGAACACAATTATTATAGGAAATGAAATGCATCAAACATATTTCATTTTGATGCTACTTTCATAAATACTCACGCTTTCGAAAATTTTCCGCTTTGATTAGGATTGTTCCGTAAAGAGAAAAATTTTAAATATTTAGTTGTTATAAGCTGTCAGTTGCAAACTCTACAAAGCAGAAATATTTTAGGTGAAATCAGGTAATAAGTAAAAAATATTGAAGAAAACAAAATGGACATAACTTTTCCCAAGGAATTTGTATGCCGAATATTTATGGTGAAATGTGTTTTAATCCAGATGCGTTTATTTTCAATGGTTTCATAGTCCTATTGCCATTACTCTCATAATAGTCAATAGTATTTCTGAGAGATTATTATGTATATGAATGTTGCTGGTATTATTAATGGTAACTTTTGCTTATTGGGCAACGTATCTGATCGGTCAGAAA